CTAAGCCTCTTGCACACACACACAGTTTTTATCACCCATTTTTTTTGAAATTAGCATCTAAATAAATATACAGTTGTTTTATTAATTAATTTTTGCTACCGGTTTGTTTTCTTTTTTCCTTTTCTTCTTCTTTAATTGCAAGAAAAGTTGTTTCCCACAAAAGGATACTTTTCCGTTTCCAACCACTACCACTATGTAATAATTATAAGCTTTTTTGGGGGTTCTCAACAGTTTTCTAGTTTTTCTTAATTTTCTGACATTTTTTATTAACAACTTTCTTGATGCAAACAGGAGGGAATGCTTATGACAGCCTGACAGACATATTGACAGTTAAATCTTCACCACCAATAACAACAACAACTACACGATGTTCATCAGAATGTTTTTTAACTGTTTTCCCATAAATCTTAGCATGAAATGAAGGAATCTTCAAACTTCCTGCCACACGCAACCCTTCCATCCTAACTCAGCACCCCCTTCCACCAACTGCAAAGATAAGCGTTGTTTGCATAATGAGCTGGAGGTGGACGTGAAAGGGTTGAATATGAACAAAAAATTTTAATTACAGAAATTGCGTCTAATTCAGGTAAAATTAAGCCCTCCAGTTATTGGAAAATGTATTTACTTGTCAGTATTTTTATTCTCGTACTAGGATAGAAAGATTGATGTGTATAATCAGAAGGAGGATGAGGGTACATTTTTTGAAGGATATTTTCTCGCCTACAATGAACATTAATTTTTGCCAATTTGTTGTCGTTTTTTTTTTTTTGTGCATTTCTGTACCACTCAAATTTGTCCAACGATAATCGTTATTGTTGTCTTCTATTTAAAACATGTCTCTTGGCTCTAATGACCACTCCGGCTGAGATAGCAGGACCATTCAAACATTTTGCACTTCCCAATGGCGTTCGGTATGCATGTGTTAATATATAGTCGACTCTAGTTTTGTTTTTTTTTGGAAAAAAGGCTTTGTACTGGACACCATGTCTATGGCAATAAAGGAAGTTCAGACTCATATCTGTCTTCCATGCACTCTTGCCGCCTTGGCTGCCATCATCGTCATCGTTGTTACCAGAAAAATAATGTTGTGGTCATTGCAATTGTTACAATTGTGGTTTAATCGTACTTTCCTGATTATGTGGTAATGCCGGGAGGTTGGGTGGCCCAAAATCTCTGTAGTTAGCCGCACTGTACGATTTGTATATACAAACATATATATGTGGGGGGAGGTGTGTGGGTACCATCATCACAAATGACCATTCAAATGGGTTGTCGTAGATTATTGCATGCCAGTAAAGTGTTAAACGGGCAATGGCTGTGAGTTCGACCATTTCATAAAAATCTCGAGTGCTGCAACTGCATCTATGGACGATTCCATAAAACACACATGTTTTTTTCTTTCAATAGAAAAAATAACAATATTTTCAATGTACAACATTGTTAAACACTTGTAATCCATATATACATTAGGTATAATAAGGTTATATTCTGTTATCAATAACGATTCAAAAGAGATGCTGTTACATACCATGTTTATCTATAAAGAATATCAACGAATATCGTGTTGGCAGGCTGCATGAATTCGATAATCGATCACTTACAAGTTCTCGTTATTAGGAATGTTTTGATGATGATTTTTTTAGATATTTGTTCAGAATTCCTGCATTTTCTCTGTTGTGGTTATAACCACTAAAATATATTTTTCATATCTGTGGATATTCAATTGGAAGGGAACAAAAACTAGATAAACAATACCAACCCGCTATATTTTTCCGTACTTCCAATGGACTAACCCATATTTGGTCCAAGTTGAACGAATAATTGAGAACAGAATATTTCATGGCGACCACAGAACCCATAAAAGATAGTGGTGCATCATAATTACCACCCATGTCGTTTTTGTTGTAATAGTTGTTGCTTGAACAAAAAGAAAAAAACAATTCAGTTCCTTTTGGTTATTCTACTCTTGTAATTTGCTGATACTGATTAAAAATATTGTGCTTACTTAATGTCGAGGAAAATGAACAAATGCACCGGAGAAACAATATCTCACAATTCCCAATTAAGCAGAAGACACAAACGTTTTGACAACAACAACAACAACGGCACAGCTAACAAGGAAAATAGCAATAATTTAAAAATGCTTGGAACACTGACATTTAAAATAGTGGTGGCCACGACAAAACAAAAAACAATCACTTGGTGACATAACTCACACTTGTAAAAAAAATAAACACCCGACAATTAGTCCTCAACCCATGATCTTGATTACGTTCTCGTTTTTTTCCTTTCCAAACGAAACAATTTTCATTTCATTTTAATTGAATTAGAATTGAGAACAGCCTTAACCATGAAAACGCCATTTAGTCAAGATGCTGCGCGTTTGTTATGTAACTGTGTATGTAGTGGAAAAAACTGCGCTTTCCCCTCAACGGCACGACGGCAATTAAATTCACTTGACTCGGCCTATGGCCTTACGGCCACATTGAAGTGATACAAATGAAAACACATGCATCTCAATTACGACTCGGAATTGTGCATGGAAGTTCACTAAGGAATTAAATAATTTTTCCTCGTATTTGGATGATGTGATTTATTTTGTTGGGTAACGGCAAATGAGGAGTATTCTGCGAAATACTATATATTTCATTGCATATGGAGGGGCTTGGTTGGTAAAAGTAATTATAGGATTTTTTAGAAATCTGGAGCACATCAGTTCACGTTATTATGACCACATTTCGTAAGCAAATTGATTTTCGATATAATCCAATAAAAAGCCGAATCATTGCATTTAAAATCTTGTTGATGTGATTCGCCAATATATAAAAAAATCATTCGTCCACATTTTATTTTTTATATCAAGAAAGCCATTAATATAATTGTAACGGAAAATAGGAAATACAACAACTATTTGGAAACCAAGTACCATGCTAGCCATTGCTTGTTTCATTTGTGTATAAAAAGGTAATAACATTTGGAATCTCAGGTTCTTGGAGAATAAAAATGTTCTACTAAGAAAATCTTCAATATTGGTCCATGTTTGTCACAATATAAAGTATTTTCATGGTACTGGACGAATTTTCGCCTTCCATAATTCTAGACAAATTTTGGTATTCTGAGGGGCCTAGACTTATTTCCCAACCTAAGTCTCGATATTTTATTAAGAAAAACTCCTCCTGGCAGATAATTTTCAATTTAAGTCAATATTTAGGCATAAACCATCATCAATTGGTTTATGCCATTTATCGAGGCATAAACCAATTCGGCCGGTCGGTCCGGCCGAACTCATCCACGATTTTTATTGTTGTACACTGTATTAAAAATCAGAGACGAACCAATACGCATCCCAGCAAAACAGCTGTCATTCAAAAAGTCCGACATCGTGTAAGCCGTGAGAAGTTTCTTGAAGTCTATCCTACGTTTAATCTAAAAATCTAGCAGAAGGTAAAAATATCAAAATATATAATAATTATAAAATATTTTTTTCAGATTCTGAGAAATTGGTATTGCAGAATAATTTTCAGTGTCCTTGTAGGACACCTTTTTTTAATACTATTCGTCTTTAAATTTATTCGAAATGTACTATAGATTGATCATGTTCAAGTGTGCAGAATTTCGTATAAGTTTTTTTTAATAAACAAGCATGATTATTTCTATAAATTTTATTTTTGTTTTGAGAATTTGTTATTTATTGCAACAAGATTATCGAAAAGATGTACTGTTTACATCTACAAAACAAAACAACTGTCTCCGGTGTTAAATTTTATTCTCAAAATAAAAGAAATCAAATGGCGCCATTCTTATTTTTAGTTTTTTTTTTCATTTTTTATTGAATATTTGTGACCGCATGCCATAAAAATAGAATGTCGTTTAGTTTGGTGCGCAAGTGAGTGGAGTGAAATGCGCACCAAATGCCGCACATTTTCCATTCACAGGTTCACACATATCACCGAGATGGTGTCTAGATTTTTGACAAGGCCATTTCGAGTGTGTGTGTGTGTGTATGTTTTGTTTGTTTTTTAATATTTTCTATTTCATTTAGAGGTCAGTAGTGTACGAAAAAAGAAAATGCCAATTGTATGTATCTGAGCAGAATTCAAAAAATGTTGATGACAAACAATGCGTCATCGAGTAGCTTGACAGTGAATTTCTAGAAAAGTTCAATAAACCAATTAGGTTCAAAGGGACTTTAAATAGATTTCATACAATGTCACTGGGGGTTGGCCAAGACATTGGTAATGACTTCTTCTGGGGGGTGTTGTAAACAAATTTCAATTCAATGAACTTTAATGCGATGGTCCTTGGTCACCATTTTTTTTTTTTTTGTTTTGTCAAAAAGTGTATCACGTGTGCGTGGGAAATGTTTAGATGTCATATCATTCAGTTAATTAACATACTGTAATATCGAGTCGAAAATATTCTGTAATATGGATTTGTATACTACCGTTGGTGGGAAAATAACACATATATTTCCTTTCTATATATGTGCCGTACCTTTTAACTGATGTAGATATGTTCGTATCTGCTGTGAATATCCTTGCAATGGTAAATGACCCATATGAGCTGTAATTTCAAACTCCATTTCAACATTAAAAACAACACAACCTTATTAGGGTCTAACTTATTTCTTGATTTATTGTCTTACAAATAATATATAAATAAAATAAAAACAAATTATCAGCTGTCAAATATGTATGTAATCATATAGTACAGGGTATCTTCACAGATACCTTTAAATTACACTATACAAAATTATTATAAAAAATAATATATAAAACAAAAAGCATTTTAACTTAAAATTATTGCTAATGATAACAACGGTATCAAAAGATATCATTAAGCTCTAGCTCTATATATATGAGAAAATATAGAGATTCATTCATACGCACGTACATTCGTGATTAACATTTTTGTAAAATTTTGAAGTAATAAAAATTATATTCTATCCTTTAACAATTATCTCCCAGCGACCACACTGTTGTGTCGTTCTTCGATTTCATTTAGATGAGGACACAGCATATTTGTCCATTTTTACAGTCGGTACCTGGCCTCATCAAAGACTTGTGGCAACGATCCATACATTCACCCCAGTGTTGATTGCAGGGAGCTGGTCTCACGGGCACTGCATTTTCATTCATCATCCGTGGATTTGAAACGAGAGAGGAATGCAAGAGAAAAAATGGGAAAATTCACAAAATACCAATTAGTTTTTCTTTTTTGATTTCAATGAAGAAGGGAAAAGGATTCTAATTTTAATTTTGATTGATTTGGAATAGTTTGTTGGGGGCTATTTTAAGTGGAATGATAATAGGATTTCCCTATTGAATTTGGAATAATAAAGTGTGTAAAGTATTGTCATTGGTGTTATTTGTAAACTATACTTACATTCGTAACAGCATTCAACGCCCAAATGCTGATTGGAGGGACAGAGGCCTTTGTTGGTTGTGGGCAAAAGGCAATCACTGTTGTGTACACACAGACCGCCAACAAGAACACACTGACGATCGCCACGATACACTTTGACTCCTTGAATCACTGTAAAAAGAAAAAAAAAATAATATTATATTAGGACACTCACTGATTTAAAATTGTAATTTTAGAATTTTATTACATTTAGTTTACAGATCAAAAAAAAAAATATGTATTCTTTTATTTACAATTCACTACTCCGATTCGTTTAACATATTACAGTTTCTCTCATCGAAGTGGTTCTAATTTGACATTGCGGAATCTTGGATGGTGAAAAGTCATTGCAATATAATTTCATATTTTAATATCGTCTCCGTATTTGCAACATTTTTCAGCCGAAGGGACTGTAATTTATATTTTTTGTTAGTATGAAATTTTTTGCCGTAAACAAATTTTGAACAGTCCTCGATTCGTTGGAAGTATTTTTATTTATTTTTTTTAATTCAGAACACTTTAGGGATTCAGTGTGAAAATAGAAAATTATTGCATGTAAATTTTCCATAAATAACGGTTTTTATAAATAAAACATCAACTTTGAAGTGGTCACATAATTAAAACAATTGGTTTAAATAAGTAAACTAAGTACCAGAAATTGATAGAACTAGTAGAAAAAATAAATAATTCTTAAAATAAATAAATATTCGAAATAAAAACTCAAAATGTGGGAATTAACCTTAAGGAGTGATTAGATTTCGAAAGGCCTTCGATTGTTCGAGCAGTACAGAATATATTTGATCAAAAAATATATCAGTCACACAAAATTAACAGAAATAAACGCCTCTGTTGGCCAGTAAAAGTTTCTGGCTCACAGCAGCACTTATGTATAAAAAAACTTATTTGGGAAAATCCAATATTGGCCCATGTTTAAGTTCATAACCCAATTTAAAATATGAAAATAATAAAAACATTCTGGCAGATAATTTTCATGTTTTGATATTGGTCTATAAAGGGTCCTGACAGATTTTAGGTATTTTTAATGTGCACCTCAATATTTAAAAAAGTCCAATAAAAATATTTCAATTTTTGTCAAACTGTTTCTATTATGTTTCAACGCCTTATTACGCTTTTTATCTTAAATTAAAATCCTATTGGTTTGAATTAAAAACAACTAAGTTAAAATTTTCTTGGAAGCCTCGTTGGCTGATATGCCAATAAATCAAACACTGTTACGATCGAGTCAATGAACCTGACAGTAATTGCATGGGAAAAAACTGACTGGATTTACCACTTTAATGTTGGTAACACGCCAGCAATTGGGGTCATTAGTTTGCAATACCTGTCCATTACAATGGCATAATGTAATACATAATTTTTATATGAATGTTAAAATACGCAACCGTTTTAACAAACAAAACAATATGTATTAAAGCAAATTTCTAAATACAATATATCGATACACATTTTTAAAACATTCTTAATTTATTATTAATACTGTTCAAAATATAAACCACTTCTAACAAATATCCCAACAATCGTAGTTCAAAATTAATTACAAGGTAAACAATAATTTCAAAACAGTTCGTGTATGGAATAAAATACATGGGAGAGGCATTGAAACTCATTCAAACAATCGTTATTTTTGAAAAAAAGTTTAAAGCACATGCGATTTGGCATTGTTTGCAAAAATTTCAAAAAATAAATATATATTTTTTAATGTCAAATCATGCATTTTGGCAAAAAAAAAAAAAAAACCCCAAACATTAAACTGTTTTTAGCCATTCGGAGATGTAGACCTCGAAAAAGCTGACCAAGTGAATTATTCGCAACATCTCATCATCATTGCCGAATGCCGAAGTGTGAATATAAATATTCACACTTCATCTGTCGAAGACAACAGTTCACGAATTGGAACACCATCTGTTTGCAATGCCATTCAGAAAACAAACAAAAAACGTATACTTGAGATGCCAATAAATATGTTTTTTTTACTTTTTTAAGATTTCAAGACAATCGCTTTAATGATTTTTATACAAAAGATCTCTGAATGAATTAAAATCCATTCAAAATACTATTTGTATTGTCGTTATTATTAGTCAAGTGGATCAGTGGATCACTCCTCACATCTTGTCAAACCCCGAATAAATGCAGACGAAATTAACGAGGGACACTTCAGAAAGTAATGTATATGTTAAAACGTTTTAACACACTGGGGGGCTGAATGAGGAATATAAAAATAGCAATAAAAAGTTACTTTGTACAACTTCTCAACAAATACGTACTACAACACTCGACAATATCTTACGAACATATGATGTATTCCCGTATTTTAATAGAAAATACTCTTAAATACAAAAAGTATGAAAATGGGATGATATTAAAAATATCAAATCTTTATGAAAAATCTTACGATCTCAGCCCATGCGATCAAAGCTTAACACTCTTATACTTGCTTGTCATTTAAAATGTTTTAAAATTAAAAAAAAATTGGTTTGTATTTTGCCTATGAATGTCCTGATTTAGATTAGGCGAGTTTACTTGCGGCAATTCTTATCGTTCTCTTTTGAACTAGCTTCATGCGTCTATACAAGGCAATTCGGTTTCAAAAATATTTTTTTTACATTTTCTGACAATGTTCTGGATTGGTATTTCAAATTACTGACACTACAAACAAAATACACAAAACGAACTGCAAGAAAATTGTCGGTACGGGCAATTTTTTTTTCAATTTCTATTCCCCTTGCCCCTCTCTCCTGCAAACAAAGACTTGCCGCAAGTAAACTCGACCAATCTAAATTGAGACAATGTAGTTTTTCCCAAAAACAAATCTTACAATTTCTTCTGATAAATTAGAAATGTATTATTTTTAATTAGGTTAAAATGCAGTCGTCATGACATAAATTAGTCTCACTTGGTACAGCACATTTTTATATCGTCAATAATTGTTTTTTAGACAGAAATCAATTGAGATTTTTCATGATTACAATATTAGGCGATGGTTACTTCCAATAAAAAACGCAGGTTATAATTTTTCGATTAATCTTTCAATCTGAGGACCTTCAATGGCAATTTTTTTCAAACTTATTCATAAGCTAATAAAATGATTTCTTCTTTCAGAAATTTAATACATTCCAATACACAAATGTGAAAAATAATACAATTGATGTTACGACTTTGAATACCTATGGAGAAGAATATTGAAGTTCATCGATGTCTATGTCAAAGCTAGCTATGTTTTTTTTAATACAATATATTTTGACAAAAAAAAAATATTAATATCAGCTGGCCTTACTGTATGACCTAATACATAGACCTTGGTTAGGAAAAATCCACCAAAATATTATAAAATTTAATAAATTAAACTTAATAGGAATAATTTTAGTTGTTTCAACATACGACTACTATTCCATGTAAAATGTTTCGTAAAAAACATTCTATTTCAAAAATATCCTTAATTAATATTATATTTAGAAAAAAAGAGGACGTATTAAAATGTTCGTGATTTATTTTAAAAACTTTTTCGAATGTGAATGTACATACTGGAAATTCCAATTTTACATTGTGTAGAACACACAATATAATTGAAATTTCTTAACTAATCGATATCGTAATTCCAATCCACAACTTCTAATCTAACTGCAATAATATTTCATTCCACAACTTCGCCAATCACTATTTTTGTACCAAAAAATCTCTATTCCATTTTTTTCACAATATCAAATTTAAGTAGCCAATGCAATTCTGTACTTTTTAACACTGAGTTTAGACTATTTAAACTGTTATAACTGCATACCTGTTAAAAAAACCCACGAAAAAAAAACAAGAACATTATTTCTTTTCCGACTCGATGCACTTTCACAATCTCTACAAATCGACTTTCATTCAAGTTGTCGCCATCTCAGCATTGACCAATTGAATGCAAGCAATGGCAAGCAGATACATTCAATGTCAGGGCTTTTAACTTCTGTAAAAATAAACTTGAGATGCTAAATAATGAAAAGAAAACATGCAAAAATACGAGCAGTGCGTTCTATTTGCAGTCATCTGTCCGATTTAATTGCGCAATTCTTCATAATCTTTTCTACGTTGCACGTTGCCTACATATTTTTAAATTTGCATTCACTTATTTTCTTGCATTGAAAACAACAACGACATCCTCCATTGCAGCAAAAACAAAAACAAAAAAACAGAACAGAACAGAAGTTCAAAAACTGATAACACAAATCCAGCCGCATCAATCGAGACTTTGTTGGAGTCAGAAAAACAAACCTCTTAAAGCTCAAAACAAAATGTAAACCCATTTATACGTACTTTGATATTCTGGTGGATCACTGATCTCATTGTCCTCAATGTCAGCCTTGACCGCTGGTATGGATATTAACATGATCAGTACTAAGCCAGCGCATAGGTACAGCTGTAATTTACACAACATTTTGAATTTCTCTTTTTTTTATTGCTGTAAATTTTTTATTTAACAGCCACGCGATTTTCTTTGCTCCGTTTCAATTGGAAAATATTTATTTAAAAAAAATATTTTGTTGTTGTTTTTGTAGTTTCAGTTCTGTGTTTAACGTATTTGACCACTTGTTCTGCTCACCACGGTTCGCATTCAACTGAATGTTCTAAATTGTTCGCTGAATCTTTTTATAAATAATTTTATATTTATTATTTGTGAAAAGAAAAGAAAAAAATGAAAGACACTGGCCGATCGTGTTGTTTTTCCCCGGAGACTTTTGCGATTTTTGTGAAGAATGCGATTTTATTTCGAGATGGTATTTGACTGCGTGAAATCTTTCGCACAACTAACTGTCACCGAATGGCACTTTGTTTGTTTTTTAATTGATCAACTGTTGACAGTGGTGAGCGCTGCTGGTGAGAAATGACGGACAGAAACAAACGCCAAAGTGGTTTTGGTCTGGTTGGTGGCTATCCTACATCTCTCGCATCTCCTACACTGGCAGTGTAGATGGCTTTAGTTGTCTTTTGAGGATGTGCAATAAAGTTGTAAAGATAATCGGAAGTGAAAAGTTCGAGATAACTAAGATGATGAGATAAAATGAAGAAGGCAAACTAATGTGTGTTTTCTTGATTGGTATTAAACCGCAGCGCATGCAAACTAGCTGTTATTTCGTTATATCTTGTGTGTAATTACGAGGCTTGTTCAAAAATTATCAAAGGCATAGTTTTTTGGAAAATTCCTATTTATTCATGAATATCAACATACAACATACATTCTCCAAAAATAATTCTCATATATCAGGTTTTTTCAATCATCAAAGGACCTTAAAATAGTAATTTCCTAGTGTCGTCCCTTCAGTTTTAGGAAAATGCAAAATAGTCACTGGGGGCGAGGTGCAAAATGTAATCCAAATCTGAAATATTTTCCAATAAAAATATATTTATTATCATATGGTATTTATTATTCGTATAAACTGGTCATAATGTGTTCTGTAAACAAATACGCTGATTGAGTTGTTGTTCGGCTAGCCGTCATTGTGCTCAGAGAGCACCACAAATCTTTAATAGTTTTGCGCTCATCTATCACTGAAACGTTTTAATTCTGCACGCGCTATGTTTACATTGTTACGTTGTAGTTGTAGCTATTGTTGTTATAAAATAAAAAAATGTCTATAATTTGTTATTATTTTTTGTTATAGAAATTTTTGTTGATAAACACAACAGCAAATTAAGAAAACAATCATCTATGAGGTACAATATATAAATGTTTGCCGGTAGGTTAATTTTAACTTTTTTTCATTTTACAAAATATTTTTTAATTTTCTTCAATATTGAATATATATACACGTAAACCAAAAAATTACAAAGATTTGTCATATATGGTATCTCTTTATGGTATATTACATATGACATAAGTAAATTTGATTATTGCCGCCAATGCATAACCCATCTAAATACTTTCTACAACTAAAATACAAAAAATTATTGAAATATCTTAAAATATTTTTTTAAACTAGTTGTTTAGTCTTGTATCGAAAATGTGTGCATACAATTAACATTAATATCTGTAGTAAGTTACATTACGGATTGTTTGCTTGTCGTTATGATAACAAAAAATACCCGAAATGTGAATTGAATACTAAAACGTAGCGTCTTCCGCTACAACTTGGCTGCAAAAAAATAAAATAAAAACCCAAACCAAAATAAAAATTCATAGCGCACGTCACTTCGAATTGAACAAAAATACCAAGTTCTTTTTAAGAATTTGTAGAAATTAATACGTCACATCATGTCTACACTTGTTAATCGCCGGCCACTAAAAAAAAAAACTGATCGACGAGGATGATTTATTAATGATAGGTGTGTGGAATTATTACAAATGTTGTTATAAATGACAAATTTTATTATAAATGCAAATTAATTTAATTTAAATAATTTGTGTACAGACATTAAATTACTAAAAATAATTGTCTTTATCTACAATAGCAATCACCCTTCGCTATTTTCGAGAAACCCCTAAACCAGAAAAATAACATTCGAATTAAAGGTGAACATAAAAAATGATAAGAAACTCATCAGATCATTATACATAATCATATGTTTAAATATATATATATATATATATTAAATAAAATACATTCGAGAATGTCACATCAGATCAAATAAAAACTATAGGAATATTTTTTGAAAAGACTCATTCCACTGCAACTTCCATATTTCAGTCTGTGCGTTAATAATAACTCAGGGTTCGCTCACTTTTAAACAAAAACAAATTGTTGGTTCTTTTTAATTATTTCATTTTTGTTAGCCGATAAATTAATTATAATAATTGAAACTTGTTCTTGATGCTACATTTTTACCTGATGCTAATTTACATTACATTCAACTTTGGTTGCGATATTAATCAGTATTGCTAAAAAAGTAACATTTTATATACTATGAAAAGTACTACCGGCGAGACAAAAAATCGACTGTAGAACTTGATATGATACAAATACAAATGATAAAAATTGGCCTTTATGATTTTTTCCTTATATTTCAATGTCTTATTTTTCTCCAATTTTTACATAATTTCAAAAAGAGGCGTTTGTTTAAAAAAATTGCTCATCGTATTACTAAGATGTAAGAGGCGTGGGGCTCAAACCCATTAAATCATTTTAAATCGACGGCATCATTAATCTCAAGACCCCATCGACTTGACCAAAACCCTTCGTATTTTAGAAAATGTCGTTTGTATTGTATTCTATTGTCATAATTTGTATTTGTCGAAATTCTATAAACAACATGAGTATCATTCAATGATATCGCTCAGAACTACTATAATGTTTCTAATATTATGTCGATTGAAGGCGTTCCCGCAAAGGAATGTTTAATGGGATCTCCTTCCTATTTAACAAAATCTTCATAATGTTTTACCCGCAATATTATAAAACTTAAAAGACAATTACTTTGAACATTTTTGAATTTGCATTTAATAAAATATTTTAAAACATGAAATCAAATCTTCAATAATAGTCCTTATCTTCAATAGACATGACTCACAGATATTCTAGGAAAAACCTACAACCGAGAACGTGAAATAAATTTAGACTCAAATGTGAACTTGACATTGAGATTGATAACGCACTGATCAGAGAATTATACATAGTCATGCTCATATCTACAATATAAAATATTAAAAAAACACAAGTAATACCAAAAACAATAGATTATCTATTTAGAATAAAACCAGTAAGCCGGGCAGTAAGGTCGGACGGGGCCGAACATATGATACCCTACACATCTACCACTAAACTCTAACATTCTGCGGACCTATATGCCCAGTCTTGGCAATATTTCACGATATTTGTACCATCTTGTCCGAATAGAATTTTATTTATTTACACTCAAAAGCTTTGGTTCTTTGACCAAATATAATCATAAACTGATAATAACTAGACCTCGGATTTTGCATATTTGCATATTTTTTAATAATGAAGATATCGAAATTCTGATTGGACACAAATTCGTTTCAAAGGATTTAGAATTATTTGAAGGGTTCATATTTTTTAATTTTTTGCATATTTGCATATTTTGCATATGCACGAGATATGCAAAAAATATGCAAAATATGCAAAAAATATGCAAAATATGCAAAATATATGCAAAATATGCAAAAAATATGCAAAATATGCAAAATATATGCAAAATATGCAAAAAATATGCAAAATATGCTAGGTCGATATGCAATAAATATGCAAAATATATGCATAAAATATGCAAAATATAGGCCAAATATGCAAAAATATGCAAAATATATGCTAAAATATGCAAAAATATGCAAAAATATGCAAAATATGCAAACATATGCAAACATATGCAAACATATGCAAAAATATGCAAAATATGCAAAATATATGCACAATATGCAAAATATATGCAAAATATGCAAACATATGCAACATATGCAAACATATGCAAAATATGCAAACATATGCAAAATATGCAAAAATATGCAAAATATGCAAAATATGCAAAAATATGCAAAATATGCAAAACATATGCAAAATATGCAAAAATATGCAAACATATGCAAAATATGCAAAAAATATGCAAAATATGCAAAATATATGCAAAATATGCAAAAAATATGCAAAATATGCAAAATATATGCAAAATATGCAAAAAATATGCAAAATATGCTAGGTCGATATGCAATAAATATGCAAAATATATGCATAAAATATGCAAAATATAGGCCAAATATGCAAAAATATGCAAAATATATGCTAAAATATGCAAAAATATGCAAAAATATGCAAAATATGCAAAATATGCAAACATATGCAAAATATGCAAACATATGCAAAAATATGCAAAATATGCAAAATATATGCACAATATGCAAAATATATGCAAAATATGCAAACATATGCAACATATGCAAACATATGCAAAATATGCAAAAATATGCAAAATATGCAAACATATGCAAAATATGCAAACATATGCAAAAATATGCAAAATATGCAAAACATATGCAAAATATGCAAAAATATGCAAACATATGCAAAATATGCAAAAAATATGCAAAATATGCAAAATATATGCAAAATATGCAAAAAATATGCAAAATATATGCAAAATATGCAAAAAATATGCAAAATATGCTAGGTCGATATGCAATAAATATGCAAAATATATGCATAAAATATGCAAAATATAGGCCAAATATGCAAAAATATGCAAAATATATGCTAAAATATGCAAAAATATGCAAAAATATGCAAAATATGCAAAATATGCAAACATATGCAAAATATGCAAACATATGCAAAAATATGCAAAATATGCAAAATATATGCACAATATGCAAAATATATGCAAAATATGCAAACATATGCAACATATGCAAACATATGCAAAATATGCAAACATATGCAAAATATGCAAAAATATGCAAAATATGCAAAATATGCAAAAATATGCAAAATA